GAAATAGTTGAATTGGTAAGGTTGGCAAGCCAGTGTAAGTAAAAATATGAGCAGCATCTTTGTGGATAATACGATGTGCTCAGAAATAGTCACGGGCAGTCATATATTTGGACTAGTGAGGGATGGTTTTCAAATGCTTCTCTGGATGCGTGGCAGGAAAGGTGAAGGTGAAATGGCCAGACAAAGACTGAGGTGTGTATAATGATGAAGAAAGAACTGGTGTGTGCTAGAGGTGGAGGGGCAGCATGATTTTATGGAGTAGGCTGTGTAAGTAAAGATCTGTAAATGTAATTAAGTAGTGAGGCTGGATACCAGAAGAGGGAAAAGTAAAGAAAAAGTAGAAAGCAATTAATGCAGTTTTGGGAGAGAATAGTGACAAAACCCCTCTATCTATATAATGATGACTTGGAAAATAATGCAAATGCACTGAAAAATTAGGGGCAAAGTTGAAAGCTGTATTGGTAGATTTATAACATCAATATTAGGAAATGTTCTTCAGATGCTTATTCCAAGGCCACCTGGAAAGGTACAGTTAATCCAGGCAAAAAGTAGAAGTAATGTAAATGTTTGGATTTTTAGAAAGCTCTGACATATCTGTATGACTTAAATATTATTTAGGTAATTATTTATTAGGTGGTGTTTTAATAATAAATAAATCTGTTGCTAAGTAGCAAGCTGAAAATGAAATCCACTGATTTTTGCAGGATACTCCTCATGTAAGCTTGTACGGTGTTACTGTAGCAACTAGTTCTTCTGAGTGTGAGTCCTGCTCAATCACTAGTATGAGATTTCCTTCAAATATGTTCCTATTTCAGTACCTGGATTATGACTTCCTCTACTTCTCAACTTCTTCTAAAGGAAGGGGTAAGGTCTTGGATCAGCACATGGTTTGGAGACAGTGTGCAGGCAGGCCATGCAGCTTGCCATAGCTTGGCCGAAGTACTTACAAAGGACTTTGATCCTGGAAGAATCAGAGTGCAAAGGGACAGTTTAACTGCCTGTCAGCAATAAAAGAGGGAGGCAATATCTGGTTGCTGTGACCTTGGGGATGGAGACACATAGGTAAGCAGACTGAGAAGTCAGAAGCATGTGCAAAGCAGCCTGGGAAAGCAGCTGTAGATCGTCAGAATATTTCTTTGCAGAGACATGATCACTCAGCTATCACTGAAAGGTTACTTGCTCTGATATATAAAGAACCCTAATTAATAATAATGTCAACAGCTTTAAAAGCTTTACAGCAATCTGCAAGTTGCATCAGTGAAAGGTTTGAATTGCATGAGTGAATCCCTGTTTATGTTGGGTTATACAGGCATAGGCCTGAGGCATACTGCCTTGTGAGCAAATGTTAAACGGGATCAGCAATATTGCCAAAATATTTACTAGTGTTCTTTTTGGAGTGGTCAGGTTGTTGAAACATCATCTCCATGCTTTCCTCCCACAGAGGTCTGAAAGGAGAGGAAGGATTAAAACTAGATAGTTTAGCAAAGTTTTGGCAAGGGATGCCAAAATAGACCCAAATTTTGATAGGGTATGACTGACAGGTAAGTAGGCACAGAGGGTGCAGTAACTGATAGCTCCTTGATCTTATCTATCTTGGAGCTTGTCTGAGACCTTAAAGATAGGACCCGTCTGTTCCCTGTTGGCAGCAAATACTGTTTGCCAGCAGTGTTTCAGAGGAGAGGAACACAATTAGCCTTATGTGTATTCCAAGTAATTAGCATTGTGTTCCATAACATATAAGCTGGTATTCATAATATTGGGTATTGTCCTCTTGAGAAGATGCTGTCCCACCTCCAGTTCTGCTTATTCCTCCTTGCTTAAAGGGTAGCTAGCAAGAGAGGGAGAGTCCCTGTTTTCCCACCTCTGCTTTGGTTTGATTAGGTAGCTTTTCAGTCAGACTCTGCAGGAATATTCTCCAGTACATCAGGACAGTATACAGAAGTTCAGATAAAACTGCTGATGTTAGCTTACAGTGTCCCTTTAAGTGAAACAAAGCATAGCGAGTGTTGGGTGTTGCTTAGAGACTAGTTATATGGCCAGAATATATGTGCTAGAAATCTGAGCTATTTCCAAGCATGAGGAAAATGACCCTCCCCAGACCTCACCACAGAACCTTGTTCAGTCTGAGAAGACTGAAAAGAATGCAGAATATCCTTCTGAAATGGAGGATGAAAACTTTTGTCTTTGAAGGAGTGGCTTAGTTTTTTCTGGATGTGGAGTTAGTACAGTGGACAGTCAGACCTTTGAGAAGCAGTTGCTAACCACTTCCTCTTGCACATCAGAACTGAAAAACCAGGAAGCAGGCAGGACACAGTGTCCCAAAACCTACCCATCCTCTTTTCTGAGGTTTCCCCAGCTGAACAAGAGAAGTTGGAACAAGGAAAAGGTAAAGAACAAGGAAGAACTTCCTATGATACAAATTCTACTGTTAGCTCAGAGTTGAGGCAAAAGGCCTTGGTATTTTGGCGTGGAACTGAGTGAATTACAGCAATGGGCAGGAAATTGAGAGGTAGCTGGCAGTTAATGAGAAGGCAAATACTGCTTAAGACCACACTCCATCTGAGTTCCTGCTCCCGTTCTACCACCATTCATTCCCTGTTGGCAGACCTTGAAGCTTCTGCGTTAGCAGAAGGCTGATTTCTGAGGAAGTTCTGTTGAGAGCATCTAAAGGAACTGTAGGAGTTAAGTTCCTTCAAATTCTTTCCCTTTCCCTGCAAACCCCAAATTTCTTCACCACAACACCCAAGATTCTTAACCCTCATCCCAGAGGAAGTGTGTGATTTAGCTGCTGTGTATAGATTCAAAGCTTTTAAATTGTCCTTTTTCCTTAATTTAAATTTGTGTTATTGGAGCAAATCTTTCTTTCATAGGTCTATGAAAGCATTTTTATTCTTTTTTCCTCCACCAAAGCATTACTTCTGATAAAATTAATGTATAACTAAAATAGGTCTTAAAAGCCTGTAAATAGACATTGACCTGTCCAACAGCTCCTTCATTCAAATTGGCTGGGTATGCAAAAGCTGCATAAAATTAAAAATTAATGAAAGCACAAAAGACACAAGAAACCTGACAAGTAACAATAAACCTCATCAACTTAACATGCACATCCTGCTTAAAACCAATAAGCATGCCAAGCAGGCAGGACAGGTTGTGTGCAGGAGGATTCTGGATTATCTTGTTATAATGCACTACATTGAACTGTAGCTCAACCAGTTTTATTTTAAAGCCAATATTGCCACTGAAAGGAGTTGTCCCGCTTGTGAATTTGCTGTTGGTTTCTGCTCTCTCTGCTGGTCTCTGTATCCTTCTGCACCTCCTTTCTCTGATCCTTCTTGCGCTGGGATTACTGGGTGACTGTGGGTGAGGCATCTGAGGAGCTCATGTGCATGGGCAAGGGGGGGAAGCAGAAGGAAAACCATCTGTGGGCTATTTATCCTACTCACTCAGTCCCTCGATGTTGTTTACTACACTTAACTGCGATGTTTCCAGTGCTACCCTATACTTCAAACTAGGACGGAATAGGCAACTCAGAGGAGTTAAGCCAGGCACATA